CTTCCCTTCCGGAGGGGGGGGGGGTAGTAAATACCGGTGACCTTGGATACATTCCAGCTGTGCTTCTGGCCAGCAGTGTCTCCTGGAGTGACACTCTCATCTGTGTCATGGAGTGATGATGTCCCTGCTGGGGTCTGATGAAGATGAGATGAAATAGCCCAGCCCAGTGCAGACCCCAGGGTCTGCCTGGGAATCACCCCCCTTCTGTGACCACACAAACTGTAAGTCTTAGTTTCCCTGGCTGTAAGATGGGTGTGGTAAAGGTATATTTTCAGGAGGGTTGTTGGAAAGATCCAGTGAAATGATGCATGTGAGGGACCAGCACACAGTGGGCCCTTGAGGACAGCAATTCTCACTTACTTTTCTCCAGGTCTTCAGTGTGGCTGTGATGGTGCAACATTAGGGACCAACACTCACTGTGGTGGGGCAGGGGAGAAGTTGAAATCACCCCCCATGTCACTGCCAAAGACCCGCTGGCCCAGCCCCCCAACACCCTGCCTCATCCATCATCCATCCCAGGTCCTTTCTCGGGGCCCCCAGATGTTCCCACACAGCAGAAGAGCTCGGAACCCTGCTCTGGACCCTCTCTGAGTGGTCATCCCCCCATCGGTTGTTAAGTATTTTGAACGTCACTCCTGTCCACCTCCCACCCCAATGTCTTGATGTTACACAAGTCCCCCCATCCCACCCAGAACTTTGCCACAAATGGAGGATCTTGGCAGGGTGAGAGGATGCCTTGGAGTTGAGAAAACCTGAGTCAACCGGCCTCACCCCGAGGAACCTGAATAAAGTTCCCTCTGTGGGCCGAAAGGGGGCTTGATGGAGATGGGATTCAGGGGGAGTAAAACAAAGGATGTGCCTTTTTCTGCTGTTCTGAAGTTTGCCTTGAGTTTCCCTGCCCCGCCTCACACGGGAAGCTGAACACAGTGGGGCCTCGGGGAAAGGTCTGCCTGTGCTCCTGTTAAGGACCAGCTCCCAGGATGCTGCCCAGATGACAGGAAGAGCATGCACAGGACGGACATGGATCTGATGGTCACAGAGCTGCTCCCCCGCACGAAGGCAGAGCCCAGAGGTTTCTCCGATGCCATAGAGCTGGGACTTGGGGCTGCCAAAGAGGAGCAGCGGACGTCACTGGTCCTCAGTGGCCCGGCGGTGGGAACAAGGACACGGCTGCCTGGCTGACACCTGCCACGTTCCCTCACTGATGTGTGCTCCTGGGGGCCCGCTTGTCTGCCACCTGCCTTTACAGTTTGGCCCCTGGCAACCGGGGATGTGAATGTATGAGTCAGCCAGGCGCGCCAGCCCCAGCGGCAGGCACTTTCTCCAGGCGAAGCAATTTGCAGCAAAATGTGCTGTAAATATTTATTCAGCTCAGGAAAATGACTTTAATTGCATAATTAAACTTGTTGTCAATGCTGCTTCAGGACAAAACGACTGGGGAGAAGCTGGAACCACAGTTTGGCCCTCTGAGGGACTGACTGTTTGCAAAGACTTTGCTGTGGCCCCGTCTTTCTTCCCCACAGTGGGTGTTTTGAGAATGGTCAGGGAGGAGGGAGGAAGGGGCTTGGCTAGGTGGCTTTGGAGAGAGGAGGGACAGGAAAAGTTCCCAATTCAGAGAACAAACCACTAAGGGACTCCCAGGCCCTCAGACAGAATTTGCCGTGTTTTCCAAATGCCCTGTACACTTCCCACCTTCCTTGGCCAACTGGTAACTCAAGCAGATAATCAGCTCACCAAAGTAGAACACTATCAGTAGATTGAGAGAAATCTGCTTTAGAAGAAAACATT